GGACGTCCACCCAAATCAGCTCAACCTGCAGCCAAGAAACCAGCGTGAGACGCTTTCTTCACTTCCTCTGCTCCCACAGTCACACCTGTACCAAACAGGAAATGAATAGTTTACATCTGGTCAACTGAGATTCTGTAGAAAAGTTATCAACAATTAGTATCTTACCTGCTGTAGATGGCTTTTTGAGCTGGGTGACATGTCGTCACGATTTCTGGTTGGTCCTTCATTTACCTTTACATAAATGTAAACTTCCATCTGCTAACTGAAGTGAAATTATCAAAGCTTTATTAGACATATTTTCTGTTGATACTGATCATATCATCATATATATCGTTATCGTTTTATCACCCAGCCCCAATTTAAACATTCTTAGTTTGGAGAAATAATTTCAACTGTTTGTCTTTAAGCTAACAGCTAATCAGAGCAAAACCAGTTCATCTTTAAACAAATATTTTTACGTAAACAATATTTTCATCAGCATCAATTTAATGTTGCTTTGTTATTGCAGCAGAAATATTCTGATAATCTTGACAGAAAATCTCTTAGTTTGGACCTGAAGAGCTACAGCTTTAAACAAACAGAGTTTTCTGGAAATGTTACATTTATTACGAAGTAGAGTGATAATAAACTGAGAAAAAGCCTCTTTGTTTAATCTGGTCAGATTTCTGCAAAATGAGGTTCAAACAGGTAAGATATTGATTGTTCTTTTCCACTGAATCTCACTTCAGATCATCTGAACTATCCCTTTAAGACAGTTCTGCAGCCGTATATACGCTACATCTCTACATCGACTCCTTTATGTTTGTTATTTTAACTCCGTGTTTCTCTGCTGTAATTTTCAGGCGCGGCGGACGATCGAAAGCCGCCGCCGTTAAAGACGACTCGGACGAAGAAGAGGAGGAGCAGGAAGATGAGCCAACACCAAGGGTACTCATTCAAATGTTAAATTAATTTCTAAGTCAAAAAACACACCAAAAAATCACCCGTCTCCTCCGTTTTTTCATCTATTTGTTTCTCATTTCCCCTCCAGGGTCGTAAGAAGGCAGCTGGGCGCAGAAGATGAGCTAAAAGCAAGAAAACCATCCGACTTCAATAAACAACAATAAACGGCTCCTCTCCCATGAGGAGAACCGATGCAAGAAAGAAAAAAAAWATATATATATATACAGACATTGAACTTTCTAAATTTTTCAACTGTTACACCACCTGCACACTATATGAGAACATCCGCATCGTCAGCTGTGGGTCGTCGCTTCGTGTTGCATCGTGATGACGTTCGCCGCATTCAGTAGAAGTCATTTTAACATGAAAACACAAAAACAACACAAACCTAACTTTTGTAAATAGTCTCTTCTGTGCGTTTCATGTTCTGTTGTTGTGTTCGATGCTGACTGGGAGGATGCTGGAAAGCCGTCTCCTCACACGTGTTCTGGATTAAAGCTCTCCCTTAAAGCAATATTGTTCCTGGACGTTCCCTCCGTTTCCAACTTTTAAACAAAAACCTGCATCAGCTGTTTTGTGAAGTTGTCATTTTACCTTTTAATGAAACGTTTTTTACATCTTCTGTATATTAAAACCTTTCTTGTTGTCATTCTTTTTCTTTTTTTTTTTTACATTATGTATTAAATACTTTAAAAAGTGTCAGATAATTATCCAAATGTAGAGTTGCTTCTGGATATTATTGTAGTGTTTGTTTGGATTTTTACATTTTTGTGTTCACCGCTAGAAGAGAAGTCACCCGAGCAGCTGTTGGTTGTTGTGTTCGTCACCGCCGGTAAACTTTTGGCTTCACCTCCACCCAGTCAGATCTTCTGTTGTAACAATATAATTCTGTAGAAAACCTGACTCGCTTGGCTCCTCTTTATTTTTTTTTAAAACACCGTTTTTATTTTCTCCCTCTGAAAGGTGAAAGTCAAAGCCCTCTCTGATGGTTCCCGTCTGTGTGTTTTATTATTTAGCGTGTGTGCGTTCAGTCACAAGCTGTCCTGCGGCTGCCAGGCATCTCTCAGTAATGCTTTTCCTGGGCTGTAAATGAGATTAGCCGTGCTCCGGTGTTTATGCACGTCCACTTTTGAACTTTCCAACGCAGCCGATGGAAAAACACCCACACACGCTCGCTGTGTTCAGATCTGTGACCGAGCTGCAGTTTGAGACAAAAATCACTGCCAGCAGCTGAAAACATCTTCYACTAGTTTTAGTTTGGACAGTAATTATATTAATCCCCATTTTGACATTTAATTGGACCAAGAGATTAATGTATAATAGATTTATTCAAAAACCCAGATGTTACTAATGCATTCATTCGGTGAACTTATTTAACACTATAAGGTTTTTTTTCTTTTATGACCACAATTTATTAATCTGATCAAGTATTTTTAATTTACAGCAAAAGTATAATAAGCTTAGCCCCAAAAAAAGATATTTATTTTGTTGTAACACATCTTTCTACCTGATTGGCAGCACCTGGAGKACTGAAAGCACAAAACAAGTGTCAGCAAGTTTGGCAGAGAAGATTTGTCAAGTTTTCATCTGCACAGCCCACATCCTCAGCTCTACTKCTCWTCCCACAAATGCATGTTCCTTGCAAATGTGGCACCATTTAAAAAGGGAAATAAACATTCATCGCCAAGAAGCATTGTTGCAACAAAAAATCTACCAAACACAAATTTACTTTTTGTACAGCGGGTAAAATGAGTATTGAACACGTCACCATTTTTCTCAGTAAATATATTACTAGAGGTGCTAATGACATGAAATTTTCACCAGATGTCGGTAACAACCCAAGTGATCCATACATACAAAGAAATCAAACCATAAATGTCCAGAAATGAAGTTATTTGTAATAATGTGGAATGGCACAGGGAAAAAGTATTGAACACATGAAGAAAGGGAGGTGTAAAAAGGCATGGAAAGCCAAGAYACCAGCTGAACTCTCTCAGTAATTAGAAAGCAAGCCTGCCCCTTGTCAGTGCAAGTTAATATCAGCTGGTTCAGTCCCAAATGATGGCCAGGTATCACACAAGAACCATCTGATGATGGGTAAAAGTAAAGAGCTCTCAAGACCTTCACAACCTTATTGTTGCAAAGCATAATGATGGCATCGGTTACAGAAGAATGTCTAAACTTCTGAAGGTTCCAGTGAGCACTGTTGGGGCCATAATTCAGAAGTGGAAAGAACATCATTTCACCATAAACTGACCACGACCAGGTGCTCCTCACAAGATTTCTGACAGAGGAGTGAAAAGAATTATCAGAAGAGTTGTCCAAGAGCCAAGGACCACTTGTGGAGAGCTTCAGAAAGACCTGGAATTAGCAGGTACGATTGTTTAAAAAAAAAAAAACAATAAGTAATGCACTGAACCACCATGGCCTGTATGCACGCTCACCACGCAAGACTCCACTGCTGAAGAAACAGCATGTTGAAGCTCCTTTAAAGTTTGCTGCACAACGTTTAAACAAGCCTGTGTAATACTGGGAGAATATAGTCTGGTCAGATGAGACCAACATTGAACTGTTTGGATGCCAGAATACACATCATGTTTGGAGGTCAAATGGCACTGCACATCAGCCCAAAAACACCATACCAACAGTGAAGTTTGGAGGTGGGAACATCATGGTGTGGGGCTGTTTTTCAGCATATGGTACTGGCAAACTTCAAATAATTGAAGGAAGGATGAGTGGGAAAATGTACAGAGACATTCTTGATAAAAATCTGCTTCCATCTACCAGGATGATGAAGATGAAACGTGGCTGGACATTTCAGCAAGACAATGAGCCCAAACACAAAGCCAAGGAAACTCTCAGTTGGTTTCAGAGAAAGAAACTAAAGCTGCTGGAATGGCCCAGCCAATCACCTGACCTGAATCCAACAGAAAATCTATGGAAAGAACTAAAGATCAGAGTTCATAGAAGAGGTCCACGAAACCTTCAAGATTTGAAGACTGTTTGTGTGAAGAATGGGCCAAAATCACACCTGAGCAATGCATGCCACTAGTTTCTCCATACAGGAGGTGTCTTGAAGCTGTCATTGACAACAAAGGCTTTTGTACAAAGTATTAGATAAATTTCAGTAAGTGTGTTCAATACTTTTTTCCCTGTGCCATTCCACATTATTACAAATAACTTCATTTCTGGACATTTATGGTTTGATTTCTTTGTATGTATGGATCACTTGGGTTKTTACCAACATCTGKTGAAAATTTCATGTCATTAGCACCTCTAGTAATATATTTACTGAGAAAAATGGTGACGTGTTCAATACTTATTTTACCCGCTGTATATACGTGTATAAGTACAGTTATATAAAAATCAGTGGGAAAGGTGTAAAGGACAAAAAGAGCTGAATCGAGCACCATGTGTCCAATTTTACACATCTGCACCAGTGTCTGTAAAAAGGATGACGGAGTGATGGATGTTCACAACCTGAGGAGAACAAAACCTGCAGTGTAGTGGCCCCTCGAGGACCAGGATTGGGCCTCTGTTTTAGTTTGATCACATAATTTAGATTTTTTTTTTGTAGACACGCATATTAAGAATTTGCCTTAAAACTATCTGATGGAGAAATTTCCTGCCAGAGTAAAACCAGTTTGAATTAAAAGCATGTGTGAATTCTAAACCGGTGAGCTTTGATGGAGATTCAACATCTTGTCTTTCTCACTTGAACCCAACCATCACATCTTCTCAGCCTGTTTATCCAGGTGTCAGTCAGAGCTCTGTTTCCAGGCGACCAGCTGAGACCAGGAAGTGATGTGAGCATCATGGCGCACTGTGTGGGGACCCTGACTGGACCTGATCCATCAAGCTGCAGTCAGATATGATCATAGAGCTTCAGCACCTGGGTCTCCACTCCTCACACCCGAGGATGGGAGGAATTAATCCAGTTAAAATTCATATTTAGAACAAAATACATTATATTAACACGTACTTGTTTTGTTTCCCCTCTTTAAATAACAGTGAGTGACCGTTTCAGGCCCCTAACATCCCAGCAGAGCAGAGAGAGCCTCGCGCGTCAGGTGCTTTGGATAATAATTGACAGGTTCGGAGAGTTCACAGCTGGCTGCTTTAGTCGCTGAAAGCCTCCAAGCATGACCAAGTGAGGGCCAGCTTCCAAAATATGGACACCCAGGACCAGTAAAAACCCAGAAAATAAAAATAAAACGGGAATCATGCGTTGTTTTGTCACCATCTGGATGTTTGTAACCTTCAGCGCGGCGGCGGCGAAGCCCAACGCTGGTTTGAAAACGTGGGGCCGCTTCAGCAAACTCCCCTACCCCGGAGACAAGGCGTTCCTGTACGGAACCTTCCCCAAGAACTTCATCTGGGCCGTGGGSACCGCCGCGTACCAGGTGGAGGGCGCGTTCGAGAAGGACGGCAAGGGCCTCTCCATCTGGGACACTTTTACGCGCGGCGGGAACCGCGTGGCCACCGGGGACGTGGGCAGCGACAGCTACCACAACATCCACGCCGACATCCGAGCCCTCCGGCAGCTGGGGGTCAGCCACTACAGGTTCTCCCTGTCCTGGTCCAGGATCTTCCCCAACGGCACGCGCGGGAGCCTGAACGAGCTCGGCGCCAACTACTACCGCGCGCTGCTGAGGAGGCTGCGGGAGATCMGCGTGCAGCCGGTGGTCACGCTGTACCACTGGGACCTGCCCGAGCAGCTGCAGCGCAGCCTGGGCGGCTGGAGCAACCCGGACATGGTGGGCATCTTCCGGGACTACGCCGACTTCTGCTTCCGCGCGTTCGGGGAGGACGTGAAGTGGTGGATCACCATGGACAACCCGTTCGTGGTGGCCCAGCACGGCTACGGCACCGGGGTGGTCGCTCCCGGGATCAAAAACGACCCGGATCTCCCGTTCAGGGTGGGACATAACTTACTGAAGGTGTGTGCTGAAACTTTGTCAGAATTTTTATTTTATTTTTGCTTTAATTTATTGAATATTTTTATTGACGTGATTTCTGCCGTAAATAAAAATCCCAAAAAAACGCACAAAAAAATCACTTTAATTCAGATTATTGTACAGATATTAAGTTAAAATTTTAAATTTTAAATTGATCCTTAACACACATCCTCAGCATTTAACACAATTTTCATGTTATTATTAACAATTGAGTCTATATCTATCTGTTATATATCTAAATCTATCTAATATCTATCTGTTAGCAAAATATTTAATTAACCACTGGGTTGATTTCAATAAAAATTTCAGGAAATAATCATTAAATATTCATCTRCAGTTGCTTAACTTTTGGAGTCAGCTCAATTCAAGATGTCCKCTGCAACCACTTAACCTTTGAAATCACAAAAGCGGCTGCATTTCTGTCAAATGTACTGATATCAATTGAAAATTTGGTGTGATTGTAGCTGAGATTTATTCATGAGATTTACACATTCAGATTTAGGATTTGATATTTACATATATGTATTTTAACCTTTAAATTTAACATTTAGTAAAATGTAGAGCTAAATAACAATAAAATGTTAGTGGAAAATGTTAAACACGTTTTCAGTATTCAGTGAGCTGAATAATGAAAACGTGTTAGTGACATTTTTAAACATGTTATTTTACTCATGGCACAACATACTTTTTTATAAACACCATAGTATGTCACATTGTTGATATATGTTTTTTTTCCTTCATCTTCCCTTGTGTGGTTTTTAGTTTTTCTCTTGTTAAAGGTGCGCAGCTGTGTTTGCTGCATGACCAGTTTCTCCTGTTCCCCCATGTTTGCCTTGTATGTCTTCTTAAATGGGTGTTTCTTAACTGGCCCCTCCCCCTTCCCTGAATGTACAGCACCTTGTGAATTTATTTCTGTGAAAGTTGCTGTATAACTAAAACTTTACTTTACTTACTTACATGTAAAGCAGTTTCCTGTTCCTGCTGCAGGCTCATGCAGCTGCCTGGCACCTCTACAACCGCCACTATCGACCCCGTCAGCAGGGCAAGGTCTCCATGGCTCTGGCTTCCCACTGGATCAAGCCCAGCCGCACTCGCTTGGAGAGCCTGCGGGAGTGCCAGTGCTCCCTGGACCATGTCCTTGGTTGGTTCGCCCGCCCGCTGTTCGTGGACGGGGACTACCCCTCCTGCATGAAGGAGAGACTGGGCTCCCGGCTGCCCTCCTTCACCCAGGAGGAGAGGGAGCGGGTGAGAGGGACGGCCGACTTCTTCGCCCTCTCCCATGGGGCCACCCTCAGCTTCCAGCTCATCAACGACAGCCTGAAGTTTGGGCAGCTGGAGGATCTGGACCTGAGGATGCTGCTCTACTGGGTCAGTGCAGAGTACGGCAAGCCTCCCATCTTTGTGGTTCAAAGTGGTTGGTAGGTTATACTCTAGAACGCTTTGGTTTTGAATGGGGAGGTTGTATTTATGGAACACACTGTTCACTTACAGGTACGTCCTCGGCAACACCAAGACAGAAGACCCAAAACACATGTACTACCTCAAGAGGTTCATCGCTGAGGCACTAAAATGTGAGTCCACCTGCTCCTGACACACATAAACTGTTTATCTGACATCTTTCTGATTTATTCCATTATGACCCGTGTGTCTGGACGTGTGTTCTGCCCAGCCATCATCATAGATGGCGTGAACGTGATTGGGTACACAGCCTGGTCTCTGATCGATGGCTTTGAGTGGCACAGAGAGTACGGCATTCGACGAGGACTGTACTACGTTGACTTCAACACTCCTGACATGAAGAGGGAGCCGAAGACGTCTGCCACCTTTTACAGGTCTGAGTGCACGTTAGGGGGAATCTGGGGGTGTCGATTAGTCCAACAACAAGAAGAAAGTGGAGAAACTATACCAAGGGGGTCTGCAACCTTTATGATCATCGGAGCCATGTCTGCTGTGTCTGGAGCCGCAAAACAAGCTACAACTCTGATTATTAACTGGTGGTCCATGGGCCTTTTTGAGGCCTTTTTGGGAACATTTATGGTCAGTGGAGGTGACATTATAAAACTAAAGGAATATTGTTATTATTATTATGATATTATTATTATTATAAACATCAGAACAAGTAAAAGGACCATATTCATGTAAACAAGAAAAATACTGCGTATAGTTTATACTGAATTTCATAAAACTAGTACAACTGAATTATTCAGGCATTTTCTAATTCTTRTTATGTAGTCTTCAAATTATTTAAAGGTAATTCTGATGGATTTGAGAGAGATCATAGAAAGAAATTGGTATCTTTAAAGGGGCAATATTATGTGTTTCCCAGGCATATATTTAAATACTATACCATAATAAAGTATCTATGTCACCTTTAGCTGTTATGAAAATGCTGTTTTTATGTTTAAATAGAAAATAAACTTATCTTCTCATCACTTCCTCTTCTAAATGCCTTGAAATTGGCCTCTGTCTCTTTAAGAACCACCTTCTGCTTCCGTACCGAAAGTTTCGGGGGGGTTGTTTCGCGATATGATGCAGTTTACTTGGCATCTGAAAACACATTTCCTCAAAGATGTTTTGAATCTGAAAAGAGCTTCACTGAGTGAGACGTAGTGTTGAGAGCAGCAGACAGTTAAGTTTCACTTTCACTTTGCTCTGTTACTGCCGAGAGCCTGCAGGAGTCATGGGCGGGGTGTGTGTGGTGGGGAGGTGTGACCACGAGGAAGCTCGGCTTAAAGACACGTCCCAGGGGCGTTTCTGGTCCCCACCTGTCGTTTTCAAGTAGGGGTCTCTGCGGACGTGTGGGTGTGTCACAAGGAAAGGCGATTCTAAAGCGACACACCTGATTTGACGGACTTGTTAAAGGGACACACCTGACTGGACAAGCAAAAAGGGGCGATGCCGTACGGCACCACTTCATTGGACACGAACAAAAGGGGCGTTACTGTACGGCACCACTTTTTCTGGAGAACCCTACTTGGGTCACATTTCTCCTGGTTAACCTTAGTGTTGGGGTCAGGGTCAGGCTGTAAAGASATCAAGCTGGATCTAAGGATGCCGTCATGTAGGCCTCGTAGCCCACAGTGTTTAAGCTTTAGACACGCCCTCTCTTGTGACACGCCCACTTTGAATCTGCAGTTAACCCCTTCTCGTCATTTTGCTCCTCAGCATGGCTGCCTAAAAACACTGCAGAATTTCTCAAACATGCATGAATGAGTCAAAGCAAGGCTTTGGACATGTTTTTTTATGAGAGTATAACATTATAACATGATATAAAACTCAAAAAAGTTGATTTTACATGACATTGCCCCTTTAAGTAAACAACAGGCTTGCATGAGCTAACATGTTTTACTTTTTTGTATTAGTAGTATTGATCACATGTTTGCATACAAATTTATTTCTGTTGTGGGTATAACCTCCCCCCCCTGCAAAAAAAAAATCAGTTATGTTTGGTCACATTTTCAAAGAGGCACTGCAGAGGRACCAAARAGCCACATGTGGCCCCAGAGCCACAGGTTGCAGACCCCTACATGCTGTACGATTGAGGAAATTGGCAAAATAAGCCAAAACTGAGGTCCATCCATTCCTACTTGCCTGACTCCCTCTGATGCTGTATCCTGTAGGTGAACTCAGTGCTTCTGTATTTAGCTCTGTTTTGTAAAATAAATATCAAAGGGGGACTCGTCAGGTTGCTGTTCTGCCTTTAACGTGTTTTTAAATGACTGATTTCCAGGATTTTCACCAGCTTYGGTTTCATGTCCTCCTCTGCAGAAACGTCATCCACAGAAACGGTTTCCCTGAGCTGCCGGAGAACAAACCAGCACAAGGAGTCTTCTCTTGTGATTTTGCATGGGGGGTTTCTGCCAACTCCATACAGGTGTGTGAGTGTGTGTGACTGTGCGTGTGTGTGTGGTGAATGACCATCATACCAACGATCAGAGGTCAGATGAATTAAACACAGCTTCCTCTGAAACTGAACCTTAAGAAAACATTAACTTTACTTTCGGTTCAAAGATTCACCTTAAACTTAATATTTAGTGACACTTTCAAAAAAAATGGTTTACTATTATTTAACTTTCTATTTTTGGACATAGTTTCAAACCGAACACTTCAGTTCCACATTTTGAAATGTTTTTAAATAAACCTGCAGTTTTGTGGTGAAAATTTCAGCTGCTGTTATCGGTTTGTCTCATTTGGGACAAGAGCAGCTCCAGTGTTTGTCGTTTACACGTTTCGACCTCCTCCCCGCCCCCCCAGGTGGAGACGGCTCCCGCCCAGTTTGCGGACCCCAACGTTTACCTCTGGAACATCTCCAACAACGGAGAGCTGATTAAGCTGGAGGGCTTCAACGCTCCACCTCTGCGCCGAGCCACACACTGTGCTGATTACGCCACCGTCCGACAGCAGGTCTGTCAAACAGTTATCAGCCGAACGGTCAACCAATGGATTAAGAAAATTTTTCTTGGTAAGATTCTTGAAATAAGAAAAAAAAAAAAGAGTCAAATCAAGTATTTTAAGAATCTTGCCAAGTAAAATTTTCTTACTCTGTTGGTAGGAATTTTTGACTGAATTTGAGTCAAATTTTCAGACTAACAAGACAAATAATCTTACACATTCTGAAAACAAGATTATTATTCTTACACAGTCAGTTCTTGTTTAGTAAATCAGTCTCAAAACAAGATCAAAAAGACTTTTTTGGCTGGATATAAGATTTTAAAACTTGGTTAGATGGACGTTTTTTGCAGTGTACAAGTTATAAAGGTTTGAATTTGCTCAAAATGAGCTCAACGGTAACTTCACCTTCAAAATAAAAGCTTTTTTCAGACGTCTGCTTGCATCACCAACCCGTTTGTCTTCTTGTGTTGTTTTCAGGTGGATGAAATCCGGCAGGTTGGGGTGACCCACTTCCACTTTTCCCTGAACTGGTCTGCACTGGTGCCCGCGGGTGACGTGGCTCGCCCCAACGCCACCCTGCTGAGGTACTACCGCTGCTTCGCCCGTCAGCTGCTGCTGGCCAACGTCACCCCCGTGGTCACGCTGTGGCACCACACGAGGCAGCGCAGCGGCCTGCCCGCCCCGCTAGACTCTGCCAACAAGTGGCTGGACAGGTGAGGAAACCTCGCTCGGCTTTACCCATCTCTCAAATATGTTCAAAACCTTAACCTAAAGACTTAAAAAAGTTAATCCTGTATTTATTCACATTTAACATGTTGGGGTTTTTGGGCTTTGAATTGACTCCAGGTTAAAAAGCTCTCGCATTAAAGCAAACACAACATATTTGACCTTTTGTTTTGGTCTCCTCCCAGGAAGACCCCGCAGGCCTTTGCAGACTACGCCAGGCTCTGCTACAGAGAGCTGGGGTCCAGTGTGAAGATGTGGATCACCTTGAATGAACCCAACGATGAGATGGTGAGCTACCAGGAGGGCCATCAGATGCTGCGGGCGCACGCTTTGGCCTGGCACGCCTACGATCAAGAGTTTAGACACAAGCAAGGAGGAAAGGTCAGTAGAGCATTAATATTATAATTATTCGGGAGCTTTTTGTTTGTGAAAAGCATTTTTTACTCGACGTCTTTTAAAAAGCAAGATCAAAAGACCTCCGCGTTTCTGTCTCAGGTGTCTCTGGCGCTGCACTTGGACTGGGTGGAGCCGGCGTTTTCYTTCAGCCGTGAAGACGTGGAGCCAGCCAAAAGGGTTTTGGATTTTTCCGTCGGCTGGTTTGCAGAGCCCGTCTTCGGCAGCGGCGACTATCCTGCAGGGATGAGGAGCTGGCTGCGTCAGCTCAACTCACTTGAGTAAAACAAACAAACAAAAAAAAAAGTCTTTAATCATTTTTAAGCTTCAGAGCAAACACGACTGCTTAACTGTAGAAATATTACCAGCAACATTACCAGATTATATATATGTACRTTTTTCTAGGTTTACAAACTGTAAGGTTTGTATTTAAGTCTAACACGATGATATAACTAAGAACTGTTTTATCATGAAGGATTTGTTTTATTTTAGTTTGTAATGGTTGTAATTTTTGCGCAGCTTGCCTGAAGTTCACATTTCTGCTTTAATCACAACACAATGTTACGTTTTGATGAAAAAGACCACCCAACTCAGTTTTCTTTAAATATACACCCTAAACATGATATATTTACTTACCTATTTCAACTAGTTCAACCAAACCTTGTTGTTTAAATGTAAACTATATTAATTAAGGGTTAGGGTTGCAGTGGGTTCCAGTGATTCGAGTCCCCCTAAAAGCACCTGTAGCAAAACAATCTAAAAGTTTGTTGAAATAGTGATCCCTGATGTTAAAACTAATGCACATGTGCAAATACAGGAAGCACATTGGGATAAACTTTATTCAATTGAAGCAAAGTGAGATTTAACAGCAGTATTCATCCACTTTAATATCTCATACTTTTGCTTTAATATGGCAAAAACTACTTTGACTGTTAAAAACAATTTAAAACTTAACAGTTAAAGTTGATGTTTTGACTCTAGTTCTTGGATCTAGTGAAAAATACAAAGCTGTATGTCTTATAAATTCAGCACAAAAGGTAAGAAAATTAGTGTTTTGCAGATTGTTTCTTTGTTTTAACAATGCTTCTTGGCAATAAATCTTATACTGTTAGCCTGTTAATTTTCCTTTTAAATGGTGCCACATTTGTAAGGAATATGCATTTGTGGGATGAGCTGTAGAGCTGTCAAACAGCTTATTTTGCTGTTGACTCGTTATTGTTCGGTCAACTGGATGATTGAAGTTTGAAGAAACAAGACATGTTGGAAATTTAAAATTGATTCATTTAACAAACGAGTCTCGGTAGCGTGTGGAAGATCCATATACAGCCACAGCAGCCTGGCACCACCTCCTCATGCTGGTCACAAACTGTAGGATGTCATCTCATTCTTCAACCATCACTGTACAGTTCTTTCATTGTCTGATGCCTTGACTTTTCAGAATTATGTTTTGTATAGTGGTATTAATTTATATTTTCAGATCTTCCAAGGTCTGTTACAAAAGGACAACTGATATTACCAACTTTTAAAAACTGTTACGGCCAGAGGTCTTTCTTC